GAGGGCAGCAAATGTAGACACATATACCGCCTTTTGAACAATGAGACGTTTTTTTTTTTTTGTGCCAGCACTTAATATAACACAGCTTTGGTTTTATAAATACAGTCTCATATGAAGGACGAGTCTTAATTTCGCACAGTGGATTTGAACCCACGACGCAACGGTCATCTCCTTTCATTGCAACTCGTGCAGACAAAGAATCTTATTATCTATCTATGCGAAAGATGCACGACATATGGAATTAGTACTTACCTCTAAACATGGACAGCAATGTAGCTACAAGAAGAGATACCCCTGATGTCGAGAGAAGAAGAAAGAGAGTTCTTCTGCGACCAATTCTATGGATGGAAACAAAAAATATCAATTCTATAGAGAAAAAAATTATGGTGTACACGCATAGTGTACATGTTTATCAAAAAAATAACATTTTATTTTTGAATATTTTGGAAACCAAAAGTAAAACAGTGAGAACATAATGCAAGCATTATTTACTTATTTATCTATTTTTGAGACACGTTTGCTAATAATTTTTAAAAGGGTGTATGCAATTTTTCATGACGCTTTAGTAGAGAAATTTAAATTTCTTACCTGTTTAAAAGAATGAATTCGGCAAAAGCTGACAGATATTCTATGGCCCCAAGAAAGAAGAAAATGACAAAGCGGTTTCCGTACAGAGTGGTTGATATAAGATTCAACCCGTAGTAAGTCAAGATATTCGTCAACCTGGTAAAATACAAGAGTTTTTGCCCTTTTATGAACAAAATTTAATCCCCTTCACCGAAAAATCTTTGTGCAAAGTTTAATAGAAATTGACCTAGTTCAAATCAAAATACGGGGGAAAAAAATTTAAAGGACAGCATATATACATGTACAAGCAGACATATGCAAGATAAGAGTGGTCAGAGAAGCTTTCATGAGCTTTATGGCTTATGTGGACTAAAAGTATTGACTAAAACAGGATTTTTTTTCCGTTTTACATTTAGTCTTTAACATATTAAATATTCCTTTTTAAATTTTATCATGTTTCAAATAAAATTACCATGTAAGCCACATAATGGCCGAGTTGATGAGAATCACCCGGTCTTTAAGAATAGCAAACATGCCATATTTCTTCACCTCTGTATTTCTTGGATTGTAAGTTTCAATAAGAACTTCTGGATCCGCCGATACCTTTTCTATTTCCTTTCTGCCGCCACTCAGATTTTCTAATTCTATTGTTTTTGCTTTAGCTTCACTAATGACTTTGTCAAAATTCTTTTTGTTCATTTTAGCAGCCTTTCGTAATACTTTTTCTGCTTCTTCCAAATGACCATTTGCCATTAGCCATCTTAGAGATTCATCAAAAAGCCTGCAAAATATTTCTGAATGTCATGTGTACAGATACTTTATTATAAAAATACATGTATTTCAATATTTAAATATGGTAAACTGTAGCCATAGCACTGGATACATGTAACAAAAACACGATGACCGAGAAAGAAGTGTAAATAGTGCTTTATTTCTAAATTTTTGTACATTGATTTGTACGATTTGATTCCACAGGATTTTTTCTTTTTCTTTTTTCGCACTCAAATCCGATTCCCCGTAGAAAATCTGTGCTTGAGCAGGTCATGTAATTTGTAGACACGTTTGTTTAATATGAGCAAATACTAGTATGTGTGGCTAAAGCAAAAATTAAGGTAATAACCAATATTCTACGAGGCTGTAGAGAGATAGTAAGGCCAGCAGAAGTTGTAGGTATCTCCAGGAAAACCCATACATAAGGTAGGCCAAAGGCGTTAAAAGAACGATTCCAGTGGTCCACCAGACCAACCCCATCACTTCTGCGCAGAATCGCCACTCCTCCGGAAGTGTCTCTACATACTGCGTCACGCTTGACAACAACAATCCCTGGATATGCAAAGATAATAAAAATGTAATAAATGTAAGAAAATATTTTTTTTTAAATGTGATGAAGAATATGAATGGCAGGGAGAACATATTGTGAAATTGTGACATTATTATATTTCCTATGTCTCGATAAAAAAAAACTTTTGGGGAATTATGTGTGTATATGTTGTGCTAATGAATATTTGATTTTCTTTTACATGGCTTTACAGAAAGCAAATTTTATTCATTCAAAAGTTTATTTTCATTTCTTTTTTTTTTTAAATCTTCCTTCTAGATTTACATTAAATACCTCAATGGCGGCGCCTGTGAGGAATCTGAGAACGGCAAGTCCTGTATACGATGGAATAACAGCTGTAGCAATGCACAGAAGGAGGAGCGATATATGGGATATGATGTGGACCCGTTTTCTACCGAATTTATCAGAGAGGCCAGTGCACAGAAGCCCGCCAAAACCTTGTCCTAGGAGCAAAAGGGCCTGCGAGATGTCCCACTTTGTTGACTCATCACAAACTAGATCCCACTAGAAAAAAAAAAAAAACATTTTTCTGACAAACGGTCATTTTCAAGGAAATTTGAAAATTTGGTAAATTATCACGTTTGTTAGAAAAAAAAGTCATACGTTTCTGAAAATAAAATATTTTTTTATTAATATTCAGAGATTTTTTAATTAAGGAAGTTAACCTCAGTTACAAATGATATGTCATTGTATTCATTATAGCTGTAACCATTGGGACAAGAAGACGTCGTACTTGAAGAATTTGTCAGGTTTGAGGACAACGTCACTGAACATTTATCATATGTTGCGTAAAATGCCGAGGCGTTCCAAGTTTTATTATCTGGAGGTGATGTAGTGGCACACCGGAAATCTGGTCGATATCCTGAAAAAAAAAATTACAAAAATCTAAAATGATTTATCTATTTTCGTATTTAATCAATTAAATTATTTAATAATAGATTATTTATGTTCACCGTAGGAATTAAACATGTTCATATGACGTTATTGAGTTACTCATCTAAAAAAGACTGAAATAGTCCCAGTTTGCCATATTATAAGCACAATTCCAACAGAACTGATTGGTTTGTATTATACAGTTCACTATCGCAATAAGAACATATGCTAACCTCATGATCATCAATTCCTTCTATATGTCATTTGAACAAAGGAAGTTATGAATGAGCTTGCTCTGCAAAACACTAACTACCGGATAAAAAATAATCGGTTTTTGTGTGCAAACTCTAAAATTCGCAGTCTGGGTCAAATGCCATGGGTTTATGGGACCCCGATGGCTTTTTAGGGTAAAGTACTTTAGTCGTGTCTCAGAACAAAAGCATTTCATACATGTACAGGTCTTAGTTATACATATACAATTGATCGAGTTGCTCATTTTATATATACGGTGGCTACTTATACAACTGACAAAAAAAATTCCAGTGACTGTATATTTAGAGAATGACTTAAAATGTGTTCTTTTGGAACATGAACATCCAAGGCAAGGAAAACTGTATGTTGTTCATCATCATTCAATTTTGTAATTACTCACCTATGAAAACAATCGAAAGAAGATGGAAGGAGCAGGGAATCATAGCAGCCCACATAAAACACAGTTGTCTGACCTGATAGCGACCCCAGGGCCGTAAGGCTCGCCAGATCTCGTCCACGTCCACACTTTGTTCCATAATAGCCTTATAAGATTTTGATAGAATTTAAATCAAGGCAAACAACTGTGAAAAAAAAACAAACAAGTTAAAACACTGATGCCCCCGCATGGCAGCTTATGGTGAGGGTTTAATTTTTTAAATACAAATCAAAGTCCAAGGTCAAGACGTAGCATTTACTATTCAAATGGTATGGCCAAGGATTTTTGTAAAAGTGAGTCAAATATCAAGGTCAAGAAATCGAATTTGGTAGTTACCAAAAAAAATTCTTTTCACAAAGAAAACACCTGTGAAAATATGGAAGCCATACCTCAAAACACTCAAAAGTTATAAGCATACGGGGTTTATGTCTCTTAGTTGATTCGATACGCAATCTTGAGCATGTTCTACGTACGAGCAATTTCTGAAAAAAGGTAAATTATTAACAAACAAGTTGATGAAACAAAAATATCAGCAGTCCGTTTAAAGTCATCATTTCGTAAGTTCTATGTCGATGCAATGCAAATTCAGCAGAGCAAACACTGGTCTCTTAATCATCCAGGAAAGTGGGATCATGTGCCAAGGAGGAGTGAGCTTCTCCTGCCGACCAGTCATACCCGCCGTGTGCTCTCTGTCATGATCGGTTCATAACGAAAAAATCCGTTGATAATTGATGTAGTGTGTATATAATATCCAAATAATTCATATGAAAAACGTCAGTCAGCATTTGAGTTAATGATAAATTGTAATTATTGACTTCAGGCAATTGTAACGATCATAGAACTTGCAGAATGATAGCTGTAAACGAGACTACTGATATTCTTGTTTCATAAACTTTTACAACTTACCCTCTTTTAAAAATTGTTATTCGTAGTGCATGCATTTGCCTATAGAATCAAACAAGAGGCCCAGGGGCCACAGCACTCACCTGAGCTAGGAAAAAGCACATATCAGATCAGAACTGTAATTTTATTGAGGTGGGAGGGGGGCTTGAATTTTACCCCCCCCCCCCCCCAGGGATTCATGATTTGAACAAACTAGAATCTACACTACCTGAGGATGATTCCATATAAACATCACTAATCATGGCTTTGAAGTACTTGAAAAGAAGATTTTAAAAGGTATCCCTATATATTCCTATGTAAAACTTGGGTCGGCCATTTTGGCCCCACCCTAGCCCCGGGGGTCATGATTTGATCAAATTTGAATCTACACTACCTGAGGATGATTTCACATGAGTTTCATCTTTCCTGGCCTAGTGGTTCTGGAGAAGAAGATTTTGTAAAAATGCCATTAATTTTTCTCTAATTCATAATTATCTCCCCTTGGAAAAGGGCGTGGCCCTTCATTTGAACAAACTTGAATCCCCTTTACCCAAGGATACTTTATAGCAAGTTTGGTTGAAATTGGCCCAGTGGTTCTTGGGAAGAAGATGAAAATGTGAAAAGTTTACGACAACGACGACGACAACGACTACGACTACGACAACGACAGACAACGGACAAATTTTGATCAGAAAAGCTCACTTGAGCCTTCGGCTCAGGTGAGCTAAAAAGATGTCAACCCCGTATGCGGGTGATAGGTAAGGGACAACTGAAAATTTAAAGTCATCATGTTTATCATAAAGATTTGTTAACATTATTATGTTCCCCAAACGAAGTTGGGGAACATATTGTTTTTACTCTGTTTCTTATTATTATTATTTTTCTTCTTGGGAAAATTTTGTTCGCGAATGATCTTGTAAAGTACACATCCGATTAAGGGGAAACCTTTTTAGGATAATTAGGCATGTTATGTAGATTTGCGGAACGAGGGTCATTTTGCGCGCACGTGCTTGCAAGAGCGCGCACGTGCAACACGTGAAATGACCAATATACTTGAAATTGCCGTAACTTTTACATTTTTTGATGTAATGCTTTGATATTTAGAATATATAGACATAATTTAAATGTAGATAAGATGACATTGTCAACATGCCATTTTGCGCGCACGTGCTTGCAAGAGCGCGCACGTGCAACACGTGAAATGACCAATATAATGGATATAGCCATAACTTTTCTATTTTTTGATGAAATCTTTTGAAATTTATAATGTAAGGATATATTAGTAGCGTAAACAAGATGACATGATCAAAAAAGCAAGATCTCACGCGCATGCACGTGCGCTACGCTCTGATTGGCTGAAACTAAAGTCTCTATATCTTTCTTATTTTTCGACGAAATCCTATGAAATTTTGAACATAGCCATGCATTAAGATATCCTACAATAGGATATATAGCAATTATCATGAAAACACGTGCATGCACGTGTGCTGCAATCTGATTGGCTTAAATTTTATCTAGCTATAACTCCTTTGGTTTTTAACCAAACAGGATGGACTTTGGAACATAGATAGATATAATGAACTTCTACAAGACGGTATGGTCACAATGCACACGCATACACGTGCGTGTACGTTCGCTGTAATCTGATTGGCTGAAGCTTTAAACAGCTATATTTCCCTTGGTTTTCAACCAAACGGGGTGGGATTTAGAACATAGATAGATGTAAAGGACTTCTACAAGAAGATATGGTCACTATGCTCATGTATGCACGTGCGTGCACATAAAATGAAATAAATCAAAAATACACTTGAATGAGCGTATTTTTTAATACTTTTGGATTAAATACTTTAATATTTAGTATATAAAAAATATATAGATTGTGTAGACAAGATGATATGGTCATTACGCACATGCATTCACATGCGCACGCTTGCAATGCAAAAATTTGAATGAATTGGCGTTGTTTAAGTCTCAAATGCATAGATTTTGTCCTATTCAATGAAGCTGTTGCGGGGAATATGGCACGAAAAGGGTGTTGGGGAGCGTTTGGGGAACATCTGTAACGGTCCCCGTTACAATTAGCACTAGTTACATTGTAGGTTAAAATTAACGTTTTCTTTTTACAGTAAAATATAAAAGTATGAAACAGATTTGTCAGACTCTGTGGTATCTTAATTTCAAGCTCACTCGGACATATCGTGTCGACATATATGTATGGAAATAATTATTTTAATTGATGATACGTTGTAGATATAACAAAATGTCCAGTTGAAGGTCACAGCAAGTGTTTAATTTCTTTTTCTCATTTGTAAGATTTTGAAATACAATCTGATTAATAGGTCTGCTAATAACGGAGCGCAGTTGGGACCCATGTGAATTCAAGCAGATTATTGGAAAACCTGGTCTCAAAAAACCAAATGAGATAAGGAGATCACGATTAGAATTCACGCACAAAAGTCTTACAGCAATATGAGTAGATATGGACCTCCGAAAACATTAGAGAAGGATCAGGTGCCATAGAGGAGAAAGTGTCCCTTGTCTACCGATCAAACTCCCCATGTGCGCCTTATCAAGACCAGGCGAACAGGAAAATCTGTAGAAATGTAGTTTTTAAATGACTGGCAATTTAAATAGATGTGATTACATGTATTTAATTTGTAGTAAAGATACCGCGGAAAAAATGACTTATTATACAGTATCAGCATGTGTCAGCAGTATGTGTCAAAAGTAATGAGAACTTTTTCGATGTCACGATCGATCTAATACTAGTATTCAAAGATGTGCAACACTTTGGACCAGATATTTTCTACCTTTGTCATGCGTTGAATCATAATTTGTTTTGTTTCATCTGTATTCTTAAGCACGCCTGTTAAAGGTCCGCATCAAATCGTGCTAGTTTTTGCTTCAAACTAGCATTAAGAATAAATTTTCCAGAGCGTTTTAATCATGCAAAAGTTAGAAGAAAAAATATTTTTAAAATATTTATAAATAACAAAACTTATTATATATGATTGAGGCTTAGGGATAGAAAGGGGTCAAATTTTCCATCCTTGATAAATTAGTGCAATTGTTTTACGGAAATTAATAAAGATTTTTCAATTTTTGTAATGACAAATAAAAAAAATTTGGATGTATATATTTATCTATTTGTTTGTATAGATTAGATGATATTCCAACAGTAAAATGAACTTACTTAAAATGTTGACCTACCTTTTACCTGGTCTGCGTTTCAGCTCCAATATATAAATACAATATGTACTAAGTACATGTATCTATTTATTCTCCTCTCATGCATGCTCATGTGTCCACTTTCCCCTTATATAGAGTAACCTGGAAAGTTTGACAAAAAAAATTACATATTTTTTTTTATCCTCTGTCTCCATGAAACAAAGATGACAGTAATGGGTTTTGTTTCAGGTAAATTATTATCATAAGGGGTCAAAGTAAGGCTAATGCCAGGATAAATTGACAAGGATTTAACTTAAAGACTTTTAGTCAAATACTTTGATAAGAAATATGAAAAAATTTTCAGTGACAGTTTTTCAACCCAAACTGTGAATATACTTTTCCCTCAAACCAGAGATTTATTTTCACTATATAATTTAAGTACATGTATTCTATTTCTGTTTTACACACTTTTGATTTTTTGTTTTTGCGTGTGTGTTGGGGGGGGGGGGGCCTTCCATTGGAAAGAAAATTAATGAAATTATTTAATCCATATATCACAAATAATAATCCTAACAAGTCACTTTGCAATGCAGTTTTTTTCAAATAAAAACACATAAAAACGCAAAATTAGCAAATTTTTCAAAAGTTTTATGATATCTAATTATAGAATTCAAGAAAATGGGAAAATGGGAGAATATTTTTTTAAATGGCTCATAAATTAGAAAGTGTTCTATGAAAAAAGGAAAAATGACAACATTAATAAAACCACTTACCTGTATCTTACTTTTGGACTAACAAAAGCAATAAGGATAGCTTAAATTTCTTATCTAAATAAGACAAGTGCAAGTCGTGAAGAGAAGATATTATATATATATTATTATAACAGTAACTTGATCCGAAGGGTCGTATCACGTCGAGTTGAGAGGCGCGGATCATCAGATCTAACGAGACGCGAAGCGTCGAGTTTGATCTGATGATCCGCGACAGTCAACGAGACGTGATACGGCTCTTCGGATCAAGTTACTGTTATAATGATAAATTTATTATATACCCCCTTATATCTGGCTAAATATATTAAAATAAACCGTTAGAGATCAATTGTATAATATTAATCGATTAAACAAAGCATAACAACAAGGGACTTTTTAACGCGCAAGAAAAATAACGTCATATTTCTGCGTACTACGTCATCAGTTTCAGAGAGTGGTGATATGGATTCAGAAAACAACATGTTGGTGATCCGGAAAATCGGATCACGACGTCACGTGATAGCGTAAATTCAACAGTAAAATTGAGTGATACACATTAGGTATATAATAACTGTTATTATTATACTTTCATGTTAAATACTAAAATCTGATTGGTTTAGACGCAGGTAACAATCCGTTCGATTACCCTGAGCCTTAGCAACACACGTGACAACGCGTAACACAACGGTAATGCCACATGCGTGGAAATTGTGCGCGTACGGTTCACCGTAGAATTCTCAAAACGTCAGTTGCGCGTTTGAAAGAACCTGAATTAACTTGACGTCAATAAAAGCTTGCGTCCGATATAGCTTACTTGAAAACAACAAACGACAGACGATACATGCTTGCGAGTGTAGGAAACATGCTTGCGAGCCAGAAATAACGAAACTTTATATGATAAATGACTCGAATTCGAGTATCAAACTAACAATAAGGAGATTAGTGAACCGGTGAGTGTGAAAGCTTTCTATACATGAACGTAAAGACGATCGACGGTTTTTTTTTTTTTGCTGACGTCCTAAATCAATAAGACATTCAGTATAATAAAATAAATGGTGCCTGTTTTGTAGGGTAACATTTGAAATTGACACCCCTCGGAAAACCATTGTCAACCTCCGCTGACGCGTCGGTTGACAATGGTTTTCCTTGGGGTGTCAATTTCAAATGTTACCCTACAAAACAGGCACCATTTATATATTACTAACTGAATACTAGTATCAAAGATATCAGTATGTTCTGTTGTGCAGATAGAAAAATACTTTAGTCTAGTAGATGATTGATTTCTTTATTAAAATAAAATTAACTGAGTAACCAACTTTATCAATATTCATTTTAAAAAGTTCGAATACAACCAGCTTCTACTATAGTATTATTGGAAGGAAAGGGAAACCTTTAAAAGAATTTTAAGCCCCTTGACGAAATTAACTTCCTTTTCCGTTTGAGTTTAATAATTGTTCATCTGTTTTGTATATTTCACAAAGTCTGAAACATGGCAAAGTCACAGATCTAAGGGAAAACTCAGAGATGGGATCAGGTGCGCTGAATGAGAGAAAATACTCCTTTGTTCTATTGAAATTGCCAATATCCGTCTGAATTGATAAGTAAAACAAAATAAACCGTAATTTTACTATAAAAACAAAACCATAACAATTATTGTGAAACATGTCTGTCATATTACGACCCATTGATAAGTTTGGTTTCAAACCAAGATCAGAATTTGCGAAATGCTAACTTAATTTAAACATTCAAGGATTTGCATGCCTGAATCATGTTTCAGTTACTAAAGTAAAAGAAAAATGTAATTATACTTTTAGTACCGAATCTGATTGGGAAATAAAAACACCAAAATGCAGGTGATAATGAAATATTACCACATGAATAGAGAAACTGATGGAAGAAAAAACTGAAGTCGGTCTATTTATCATAGTTCTACTTAGTTGTGCGTTTGACATTTAAACCTGCAGTCACAACTCAAGCCTAACTAGTTAACGTCTTTAATATAATTTGTTAGGCCATTATTTTTTCCTTCACTAAATTGTCTGTGGAGTTTTAGTGTACCCGACCACACACGGAGTTGTAAACCGGTCAACATGGGATACACTTTCCTCCATGACCCTACCCCTTTTGTAGCTCATAATTTGTACATGTATTGTGCTAACTGTAATGATATCTTCTCATTCATTAAAGACAGAGATTTGAGCCTTCAAGAATACCTAGTCAGGGTACCCCTGTCAATCAACTGCATCTAGGTCCATCATTGGATGCTAGAACTTGATGGACTTTTGCTTTTTAGTCCCTGTGTATACCAGGGGCTTGCATCTCTTCCAGATTGTTTAATTTAAAATAAATTAATTTAAAAAATTAAATCTTCATTAAATACACTTGGAAGTTGTTAAAATAAAAGATTCTGCCACTTTCAGTCAAGATAAAACACAATTTAAAAAAGACGTACCACACCCATATGCAGCGATCTTCAAATTAACTTTGATCCTTACAGCGCACAGTATACAGAAGCTGTATTATTATGACAATTTTTAGATAGATGAAATATAATTAATAAAAGAATTGTTTATATTATTTTAAGTACCCGATACAAATCACCTGACACACAGCTGTTATCACCTACGTAATTTATGCCTTTTATTTTATTTTTTGTGGATATATTCAATAATTTGTTTTTAATGGACATAGGTTTATAGTATTCTAGTTTAAGGTCAGACGACACGTTCCTCAAAAATATATAATTTTTGCCAAGAATTTGTCATCGAATTCTTAATTCAAAGAAAACAGGTCCTTTGAATGAGACCATATAAAATGAGGTCAAAGTTGCACTAGGTGTTGGCCGTTTTTCAATTGACATACAAAATTGTTCTCGATCGCGAGGACAGCAGAGCAATAAAAAAAATAGTGTAAATATTAATGACCCCTTGTAGAATCATGTATTGAGGAAAACTTTTCAAACAACCCCTGTAGAACAGCAAGGTTAAGTTCTTCCTACTCCTTAAAGCCAAGATAGGTCTACAGTGTCAGAAATTTCCACAGGAAATTATCTTTTTTAAACATTTATAAAGAACCTAGAGCCTAGGTCATACATGTAATATAGGTGGGCTGTGGGCCTCTCACTTGAATTGTGGTTTTCTTGTAGTGCTTTTTGAAAAAAAAAAATGCTTAACCTCAGCTACTTTTCAATTGACATGCTTTCAATTTCTTATATTTCATCACCCACTTGAACAAAGTTTCTTTAAGAAGAATTCAAAAGTATATTTCTCTTTCTAGGTACTAGTACCTTGTTGATATCTGTTTTATTTACCATACATATTTTAGTTTGAGTTTGTTCTCACTCTGTTTCCATCGAGGATAAAAATAAACCTTTCATTAATAAGTTTCACTAATGTCTTAATATAAATACTAAGTATAAAGTGTTGTACAGTACAGTTTTCATGGCCCTCCACATCAAAAATATTTTTATCTTAGGATGTAAAAAAATGGAAATTTGTTCAAAAGCAATAGTAAAACACGCTGATATTACATTTTCAATGATCACAGAATACTTAAATCATGCAATTTTTTTCCCATCAAAGTGAAATAAAATCAACAAACTTCCTTTCAAATAAAAGCTATTTTTAATTAACAGCTTTCAACATAGTTGAAAATTTCTAAGTAAAATGAAGAAAATTATGACAAGATGAATTTATGAACCAATGAAAAAAACACATAAATCAAATATAAAAGCAGCATACAATTCTTGTATTCTGACTTTTAAAAATTTTACAGAGCTGCTCATTATATGTCATATATTCATGCATAGACATTTTTTTTTTCAAATTACAACAAATTCAGATTTATCTCCCTTAATATTTCCAGTTGACCAATATACATAAACAGAATTGAAAACACTCTAACTTCAGTAATAGTATGGTCTTCTATGGTCATTATATTGATCGTAGTAGTGTCTGGGGGGTGGGGGTCCAGGCCTCTCCCTGTAAGGGGGCTCTCTCCACCCGGAGTCTCGCCCCCCTCTGTACGGACCAGGGTGTCTGTATTGTGGTCCACCCCTACCACCCCTTAATGGAGGCCCATAGTCGTCTCTATACCCACCATTATCGTGTCTCTCATAGTTATCATGTCTCTCGTAGTTATCATGTCTCTCATAATTATCATGTCTCTCGTAATTGTCTTCGTATCTATAGTCTTTGTGCACTGAGGGTTTCTCCGGCAAGCGAATGTCGTCGTGTTTGGCCTGGTAGCGACGCTCCACTCTCACAGTCTCTATTTTAGATATGCCTTGTTCTTCCTCCATCTGCTCCCCTGTGTTGGATCCAGGGAAAGAGTTATTATTTTCTGAATAATCCGTCACTGGGACATTAGAGACGTTAGACTTGGCTGGGGCTTTATCAACATTCTCCTCA